ATCACACCATTGCCCTCTTCTTCTTCCTCTTTGGCCTGCTTCGATGCACTTGGCTTTGGCACTGGGTTGCAACTTATCTTGGTAGGAAGGCCACAGAGATGAGCATTGCCTATGTAACTATTTTGCACAAAGGTTCCAAGATGGCCTTTGAAAGGGATTTCACCTGACAAATTGTTGTATGAGACATTGAAGTATCCTAAACTGCTGAGGTCGGCTAGCTGAGGAGGGATGCTTCCATCTAGCTTATTGTAGGATAGATCAAGACTCTCTAAACCCTTGAGCTTTGAAATGCTATTTGGTATGGAGCCTCTGAGGCGGTTGCTTGACAAATTCAGGGCTCTGATGTTCTCAAGGTTTCCAATCTCAACTGGAATCTCACCTGATAATTGGTTGCTTGACAAATCCAACCCATACATATCGCCGATAACCTTACCTTGATATGCTTCATATCTGCTTTTTGTTAAAAAATCTACGATGGTTGATGGTGTTTGTTGACTATACAAAGAACCTTTGGCGCGGTTAAGATGTGATGCATACTGACAATATGGAAAGGCTGGAGAGCCATAAATTGTCGTGGTAAGACCATATCTTGTTCGACCAAAAGACATGTTACCCAAACATGATGGTATGGCGCCTTTGAATTGATTGTGAGATAAGTCCATGAGACCAACTTTACTCAGCTGACATATTTCCTCAGGGATACGACTTTGTAAGTTGTTGTTCCGTAGAAGAACACGTAAATTAGAACTATTGCCAATAGTGTTCAGAATCATACCAGAAAAATTGTTGTTCCGCAAATCAAGCACCTCTAATTGCTCAGCCTTGGATAAAGTGTTCGGAAGTGAGCCCATAAACTCATTGCTCTCTACTCTTAATTCTAAGAGACTTGGAAAATCAAGATTCCTTGGTATTGAACCAGAGAAGCTATTACGTGTGAGGTCTATAACCTGGAGCCTTGATAAATTCTGTAGATGATGAGGAAAAGGACCTTCCAGCTGATTTCCACTCATGTTTAGGAAACTAAGGTTTGACATTCTACCAATCCAGTGTGGAAGGATACCGGAAAAACTATTATCTGATACGTCTAGAATTCCCATGTCATATGAGATCAACATAACTTCTCCAAGATTCCCCTGGAATTTGTTGTTGGAGAGCTTCAAAACCCTCAAGAAGTAGCAACTACTTAAAAATGTTTTAGGTAGCTGCCCATATAGACGGTTAGAAGTCACGTCCAACAATTCTAGACTTTTCATCTCTCCAATTGAAGATGGAATGGTTCCATGAAAATGATTTGATGAAAAGTCCATATACCTCAGCTTTGGAAAGACAATCCCTATGTCTTCTTGAATTGAATTGTGTATCCTATTACTCGAGATAGCGAGAACTTGTAAGCCATGAACAAGCCTAGGCAACTGAAGCTTAGTCAACGAATTTCCGTACAGTAATAGGGTCTTCAACCTCGTGTTATTCTGCACAAGCCAAGTTGGAAATGCTCCTGTCAATCTGTTGTATGAGAGATCGACGTAGCACAAGTCATGCTGATGAAGAAGAAAGCCAGGAATTGTGCTGCCAAGAATGACACCCTGGAAAGTTAGCATCTTTAGCTGAAACAATGGAACCCACGAGCTCTCAGTCAGATCTTGGATCATACCAAGTTTTGATGACAGTTCGAAGACTGTGAGCCTTGTTTGATTGGCCAAGGACTTGAACAAGAAAGAACCATTGAAGTTACCATAAAGAAGTGACAAGTACTCAAGCGTTGATGGTAGACCAGACACAAAGGAAGACAGGTTTCCATTCAATTGGTTGTACGATAAATCAAGAGTTCGAAGACGACTCAAGTTACCCAAACAATACGGAAGATTTGTCAAAGCATTTCCTTTCAAACCCAGCTCTCGGAGATTCGTTAATGCGCAAATATTTGAGTAGCCTGAAGATATTTAAATTAAGAGTTGTTCTCACAAAACATCCATGGAGAAACTCGGTTGGAAGGATGACCAAACTGTGACTGATTTGTAAAGATGAAAAATAATGAATGTTTTGTAAAAATATTACCTTCGAGGGTCGATGATAATTGATTCTTTCTAAGATTTAATACTTGTAAAGATGAAGGAAACACTAAACCTGCAATTGAAAATATTCCAGACACCAAACAATATTTAGATCTTTATCACAAACTCCCTATACTCTATTTCACTAACCAACCTAGATCGGTAAGTTGTGCTCATATGTGCATAGGTCTACAATAGTAATACAAGATACTTGGACTTGTTGAACAAATTAACCTTTAATCTTATTCTAATTAGTTTCTTTTGACGTCTATTTATGGATTCAGCTGGAAAGTTCGAAAAACATATGACAATTATGCTTTAGAGCAAAAGAGTTTTTTTCTCTCTATCACCATCTCACCTAGGTTGTTTAAGTCGGTGAATTTATTGTCACTTAGATCCAGTTCTTGCAACTTTGGCATGTCTTTGAGTACTGCACCAACACAATTATCATTCTTACTATCAAGTAAAAATTATAATTTCAGTTTCCTTATTTAAGAAGTAAAAATTACCTACCTTTAAGTCGGGCATTGTCTGAGAAATTGTTGTAACTAAGATCTAATATTTTCAGTTTCGTCGTTCTTAACCCTGCACCAACACATTATGATATTATTAGCAATGTTATAAGCCAAAAAGCATATAGACCCTCTTAAAGTATTTTCTTCTTCTCACCATCACCAGCCTCGAAGTCGTTTATTTTATTGCTATTCAAATCCAATACTTCCAACTCCCTGAGATTGATTAAACCTGCACACCAAATGTCTCCCTTAGTCATCTTTTTGTTTGTTTTCTCTTAATTTTTTGTTTGGAGAACAAACTGTATTATTGGGTTTCTTAACGCTATATATACCTTGAACGGAAAAGGACCTGAATGCATTCGTCTGTAAATTCAGCACTCTTAACTTTGTCATGTTTGCAAGTTCTGCCACACCAAAAAATTAAGAAGATTTCAAGACATTAAATTATTATTCACAAAAATCTCATAAGTTTTCATCAAGTACATAAGAAACTTAATCGACAAAAGTCGCACACATTTAACACACAAAAAAAAAGATAATGACCACACATTTGTTCTTATGGTTTCTGTAGACTTATTCATTTGGGGAGTAAAATAATGTTGGCTTGTTTACAAGGCTCTAGAATTGATTTCTAGCTTTTCCATTTGTTCTTTGGTTCTATGTAAATGTGAGTAATTAAGGAAATCAAAGGGATCATTGATTACCTTTCAGAGGAAAGACACCGTTCAGTAGATTATGACCAAGATTTAGAGTCCTGAGCGACTTTGCTGCACCTAGAAAAGGGAGAACACTTGTGTTGAAAAGATTGTTGGAGAAATCAAAGTGTCCTCAACTTCTCAAGTCTCTGAAAGCTCTTATAACCTGAAAAACCGTAAAGAAACGAACTGTGGATAAATTGAAAATTTATATATATATATAAAATTTGTGGCTTCTTTGAAAAGAGGCAAGGACGTACCATGGATGGGATCAAAAACATGATTGATCCAATTAAATGAAAAGTTGAAGGTTTTGAGTTGAGGGAAGCTATGGAGCAAAGACAGATTTAGAGACAGATTTAAAGACATATCCCAATAGAAAATATTGGGGACGCGGGGCAGGATTCCAGTCAGCGAGAGGTAGACGATGTGGCCACCAATAGCGTCACTGCATTTTATCCCCTCCCAAAGGCAGCAGTCACTGTTACTACCATCATCACTCCATGACTTGGGAATATTTTCTTCTTTGGCATTAAGGACATTCTTGAGATAAGACTTGAGTTGCAACAGACCGATGCGTTCAGTTTCCAAACAGCCTACACATCCATGTAGTTGGAGAGTTATTGTTATTGCTATGAACACCAAAGCTTTATGCTTCTTCTCCTTAACCCACCACCAGCTTCTCTCATATCTTCTCATTTTTTCTTCTATGTTTTCAGGAGTTGGAGAAATTTGGCCTTTCTATATTAAAGTAAAATTAGAGTTTAAAGACATTACCATCTTCTTGTGATAGATTTTTCAGTGGTCAGAATAACACCATGAAAATCAATAAAGATTGACCCTTGACTTAACCATCAACGTCATATTGGGATGAACCGTGTGATTTGGGCAAGAAGTTTTTTGTATCGACTTGGGTCTACTTCAAGTACTTCATATCATGACAATCATCAACTTGGGTCTACTTTAAGTACTGCATTTTACTCTCTCCCAAAGGCAGCAGTCACTGTCTATAGCATCATCACTCCATGACTTGAGAACACCTTCTTCTTCGGGTCTAGGAAGAAGAGAGTTGAGATACGACTTGAGTTGCAACAGACCTATCCGTTCAGTTTCCAAACAGCCTACACATTCTTTCATTTGGAATTGGAGAATCATTGTTATTGTTATGAACACCAAGACTATATGCTTCTTCTCTTTAACCAACCACCATCTTCTCTCGTATCTTCTGTAGTTTTCAGAAATTGAATTTGAAATTAGACAGATGAGGATTTGGTCTCAGAATAATTTGGAGCTTTAATACCTTACCCCACTAGCATAAATTTGTAAGTGGTCACAATAAGAAGGTCTGAAACCAATGAAGATTGACCCATGACTTCAAAACATCCTACATACTTTTTTTCTTTTTGGTCACGTTAAACATCCTACATACTATATCTTCTTGTTTGAACTAGGTAATTTGGGCAACAAGATATTTCAAGTGACTTGGTTCCATTATAGGCTCTTCCATATCATGACATTCAAAACAAGAAATCGGAAATATGAAAATTTTGGTTATAAGCACTAACAGTTGTAAAAAGCCATAATTTCTTTGAACTTAAATTACATTCCCTACACAACACATAGTAACATCAAGTAAACGAAATACTATAACCAGAAAAGCAAACTCAGAGACGCACACAAACTCAAGACTCGAGACTCAGAGGACCACGAACATGCAACAGAGAAACTCGAGTTAAAATTTAGCCAGAGATGTCAATAGACTTAACTTGTGTCTTCTTCTTCGTCTCCACTTTAGGCACCGTCACTGTCAGAACTCCGTTCTCCATTGAAGCTTTCACTTGATCCATCTTCACATCCTCCGGCAACCTGAACTTCCTCGAGAACTGCCCGCTCGATCTCTCCACCCGGTGCCACGTGTCCTTCTTGTCTTCTTTCTCCACGTGTCTCTCTCCGCTGATCTTAAGCACAGTGTCGTCTTCTATCTCCACTTTAACCTCTTCTTTCTTCATCCCCGGCAGATCCGCCTTGAACACGTGCGCCTCCGCCGTCTCTTTCCAGTCCACACGCGCGTTCGCTATCGCCGATGTTTCTCTGGAGAGAGACGAAGAAGAAGAAGGGAATGATGGAAGATCCTTGAACGGATCCCAAACGTCGAGCGAGAAGGGATCGAACATGTTGTTGTTTCTCCTGTTGCCGAAGAAGCTTGGAATCAGCGACATTCTCGATTGATTGATGAGATTTCGAGGAGATTTGTTTACGAAATGCTTTGAATGCTGCCTGAGAATATAATCACGATTTTCAGAAGAATTCGATTTCTGGGGAAAACAATTGAGTCTGATGACATATTTAAGGTGGTGACAAAGAAATCTCCAGAGCTTCGAGATCTTTCCGATCCCAAGTTCATGAAATTTCTCACAGAGAACGAAGATACTTCTAGAAACTCGGGGAAAAAAAAAGAGAGGCGAAACCTCGTGAATTTCAGTGACTATTGGGCCATAATGGGCTTTGTAAGGCCCAAATATTCTGACATGACCGGTTTAATCATTTCATCATGTTTACCTCAGAAAGTGTAAAGTAAAATAATTGTGAAACTGTTCAATACCATCAATATTCTTCGGGTCGATTTTAAGATACATACGCTCATAGGATATTTCAAACATAATACAACACAATAAACGCCCAAACATGACAACTTTTGAACAGAGAGGAGTATATGATATATCATATATATACCGTACCTGCGGAATCAGTTCAGATGTAGCGATCCTTGAAATGTTGAAGATGATGGATCAAGAGATCAACTCGATAAAACCATTCACGGGACCAGCGTGAGTCTATGCAGAGGAACGCAAACAAGGCCAAACATGTGGAAATGTAGACTGCACCACAAGTCCAATAAAACCACACATCATTGCCCTCTTCTTCCTCCTCATTGGCCTGCTTCGATGCACTTGGATTTGGGACTGGGTTGCAACTTTTGTTGGTAGGAGGGCCACAGAGATGAGCATTGCCTATGTAACTCATTCCCCCAAAGGTAAGAAGATGGCCTTTGAGAGGGATTTCACCTGACAAGTTGTTGCATGAGACATTGAAGTATCCTAAACTGTTGAGGTCGGCTAGTTGAGGAGGGATGTTTCCATCTAGCCTGTTGTTGGACAGATCAAGACTCTCCAAATCCTTGAGCTTTGAAATGCTATTTGGTATGGAGCCGGTGAGGTAGTTGTTTGAAAAATTCAAAGATCTGATGCTATGAAGGTCTCCAATCTCAACTGGAATCTCACCCGATAATTGTTTGCTTGACAAATCCAGACCATACATATCGTCGAGAACATTCCCTTGATATGCTTCATCTCTATTTTTCGTTGAAAAATCCACTATGGTTTCTGGTGCCCGTTGAACATACTCACCACGCTCCAAGTAGTTAAGACGTGATGCATACTGACAACGTGGCAAGACTGTAAAGCCTGGCCCGTTAGATCCCATCCCAAACTGATACTTTTGTCGACCAAAAGACATATTACCCAAACATGATGGTATGGAGCCTTTGAATTTATTGTGAGATAAGTCCAAAAGACCAATTTCACTCAGCTGACATATTTTCTCAGGGATATGACTTTGTAAGCTGTTGTTCCGTAGAAGAAGAACCCGAAAATTCGATCTCATGCCAATAGTGTTTAGAATCTTCCCTGAAAAATTGTTGTTTCGTAAGTCAAGCACCTCTAGGTACATAGCCTTGAATAAAGTGTCCGGAATTGAGCCCATAAACTTATTGCTCTGTAGTTTTAATTGTACGAGCCATGGAAAATCAAGATTCATTGGTATTGAACCAGAGAAGCTATTACGTGAGATGTCTATAACCTGGAGCCTCGATAAATTCTGTAGATGATGAGGAAAAGGACCTTTCAGCTGATTTCCGCTCATGTTTAGGTGCATAAGGTTTGACATTCCACCAATCCAGTGCCGGAAAAACCATTATCTGATACGTCTAGAAACCTTAGTTTCTTTGAGTTCAACAGACCTTTCCCAAGACTCCCCTGGAGCTGGTTGTTGGAGAGATTCAGAATCCTCAAGATGTAGAAACTACTTAAAAATGTTTTAGGTATTTGTCCAGATAGACCGTTAGAAGACATGTCCAGAACTTCTAGACTTTTCATCTCGGCCATTGAAGATGGAATGGTTCCATGAAATTGATTTGAAGCAAAATTCATGTACCTCAGATTTGGAAAGACAATCCCTATGTCTTGTTGAATTGAATCTTGTATCCTATTTCTCGAAATATCGAGAACTTGTAAGCCATGAACAAGCTTAGGCAGCTGGAGCTTAGTCAACGAATTGCTATTCAGTAAAAGCCTCTGCAGCCTTGTGTTATTCTGCACAAGCCAAGTCGGAAATGCTCCTGTCAACATGTTATAGGAGATTTCAACATAGCACAAGTCATGCTGATGAATAAGAAAACCAGGAATTGTGCTTCCAAGAATCACATTATGTAACTCTAGCCTCTTTAGCTGAAACAGTGGAACCCACGAGCTCTCACCCTGAGCTTGGATCATACCAAATCTTGATGACAATATGAATACAGTGAGCCTTGTGTGATTGACCAGTGAACTGAACAAGAACGAACTGTTGAAGTTATTATCACCAAGCGACAAGTACTCAAGCGTTGATGACTGACCAGACACAAAAGAAGTCAAGTCTCCGTTCATTTGGTTGTACGATAGATCAAGAGTTCGAAGACGGCTCAAGTTACCCAAACAATAAGGAAGATTTGTCAAAACATTGTATTTTAAATCCAGCTCTCGGAGATTCGTTAATGCGCAAATCTTTGAGTAGCCTGAAATTATTCAAAATAAAAGTTGTTCTCACAACACATCGATGAAGAAATTCAGTTGGGAGGATGACCAAACTGTGACTGGTTTGTAAAGATGATGAATGATTTGTAAAAATATTACCTTTGAGGGTTGATGATAATTGATTATTTTTAAGATCCAATACTTGTAAAGATGAAGGAAACATTAAACCTGAAATTGGACGATAGATAAATAAATTTTAAAAGCTTGCATGTGTTCCATTAGGCATCTATTCTAACGAAAATATTAAGCAAACCAAACAATGTTTAGAATCTTTACCACAATCGGCTTATACTTTATTTCACTAACCGACCAAGATAGGTTAGTCAATAGTCATGCTCATATGTGCAGAGGTCTACAATAGTAAAGAAGATACTTGGACTTGTTGAACAAATTAACCTTCAATTTTATTCTAATTAGATTCTTCTGGCGTCTAGTAATCATTCAACTGGAAAATTCGTAAAACATATGACAGTTATGCTCGATCACCATCTTACCTAAGTTGTCTAAGTCGGCGAATCCATTGCCAGATAGGTCCAGTTCTTGCAACTTTGGCATATCTTTGAGTACTGCTATCAAGTCAAAAATTATGTATTCAGTTTCCTTTTTTAAGAAGTTAGTCCCTTCCTGCAAGAATAGTTTACTCACACTTACCTTCAATAGATCGAGTGTTGTTGATTCTATTGCCTTTCAAGCTCAAGACTTCTAACTCTACAATATTTTCTAGACCTGGAGATCCCAAAAACAAATGTGGTAATTAACTAACTATGATTAGAAAGTCCAAATGGATGACTAACAATCATAACCTACCTTTAAGTCGGGCTGCTTCTGAGAATCTGTTGAGGCTAAGATCTAATTTTTTCAGCTTCGTCATTCTTAACCCTGCACCAACACATTCTGATTTCATTAGCCATGTTATAAACCAACAAGAATACTTTCCCTCTTTTGTTTTTGTTCTTCTCACCGTCAAATGCCTCGACGTCGGTTATATCATTGGCACTTAAATCCAATACTTCCAACTCCTTGAGACTGATTAAGCCTGCACACAGAATGTGATCCTTAGTCATCTTTTTGTTTGGAGAACAAAACTGTAATATTAGCCTTCTTAACAGTACCTTCAACGGAAAAGGAGCCGCTCAAACTATTCCAGCCCAAATTCAACACTTTTAACTCTGTCATGTTTGCAAGTTCTGCCACATCACAAACCAATTAGCTTTCAACTTTCAAGACATTAAATAATTATTCACAAACATGTCATAAGTTTTCATAAAAGTACACAATAAACTTAATAGAACATATTTAACAGACACAAAACAAAAAAGATAATGACCAAACGTGTCCATTGTTTCTGTAGACTATAAACATGATCCCTAGCTTTTCGATTAGTTCTTTGGTTCTACGTTACTGTGAGAAATTAAGGAAATCAAAGAGATCGATCATTCATTACCATTCGGGGGAAAGACACCTTCCAGTCTATTGGCATAAAGATTTAAATTCCTGAGCGACCGTGCTGCACTTAGAAAAGGGTAAACACTGTTGTTGAAACGATTCTCGGACAAATCCAGGGTCCTCAGGCTCTCTAGTCTCTCAAAACTCTTATAACCTGAAACCGTAATGAACAAAATTTGGAGATAAATTGAAAAAATATAATTATTGCTTCTTTGAAAAAAATATAATTATGACGTACCATGGATGGAATCAAACAAGAGACTGATCCGATTCAATGAAAAGTTAAAGGTTTTAAGTTGAGGGAAGCTATGAAGCAAAGACAGATTTAGAGATACAGGCCACCCATAGGGAGGCATGATTTCATTCACTGAGAGGTCGACGACATGGCCACCAATAGCGTCACTGCATTTTACTCTCTCCCAAAGGCAGCAGTCACTGTTACTACCATCATCACTCCATGACTTGAGTATAATTTCATCTTGAGGATTAAGGAAATTCTCGAGATACGACTTGAGTTGCAACAGACCGATCCTTTCAGTTTCCATACAGCCTACACATTCTTTCATCTGGAATTGGAGAATCATTGTAATTGCTATGAACACCAAAGCAATATGCTTCTTCTCCTTAACCCACCACCAGCTTCTCTCGTATCTTCTCATTTTTTTCTTCTATGTTTTCAGGAGTTGGAGAAATTTGGCCTTTATATATTAAAGTAAAATTAGAGTTTAAAGACATTACCATCTTCTTGTGATAGATTTTTCAGTGGTCAGAATAACACCATGAAAATCAATAAAGATTGACCCTTGACTTAACCATCAACATCATATTGGGATGAACCGTGTGATTTGGGCAAGAAGATTTTTTGTATCGACTTGGGTCTACTTGAAGTACTTCATCATGACAATCAACAACTTGGGTCTACTTGAAGTATTGCATTTTCCTCTCTCCCAGAGGCAGCAGTCACTGTTTATAGCATCATAACTCCATGACTTGAGAATAACTTCCTCATGAGGACTAGGAAGAAGAGAGTTGAGATACGACTTGAGTTTGCAACAGACCCATCCATTCAGTTTCCAAACAGCCTACACATTCTTTCATTTGGAATTGGAAAAACATATGACAAGTATGCTTTAGAGCAAGAGAGTTTTCTCTCGATCACCATCATCATACCTAGGTTATCCAAGTCGGTGAATTTATTGGCAGATAGAACCAGTTCTTGTAACTTTGGCATGTCTTTCAGTTATAACATCATTCTTACTATCGAGTCAAAAATTATATATTCAGTTTCCTTTTTTAAGAAGATAGTCCCTTCCTGTAAGATTAATTTACTCACACTTACCTTGAATAGATCGAGTGTGGTTGAAGTCATTGCCCATCAAGCTCAAGACTTTTAACTCTAAAAGATTTTCTAGACCTGGAGATCCCAAAAACAAATGTGGTAATCAACTAACTATGATTAGAAAGTCCAAATGGATGACTAACGATCATAACCTACCTTTAAGTCGGGCTGCCTCTGAGAATCTGTTGTAACTTAGATCTAATTTTTTCAGCTTCGTCCCTGCAGCACCAACACATTCTGATGTTAAAAGCCAACAAGAATATTTTCCCTCTTTTGTTTTTGTTCGTCTCACCGTCAAATGCCTCGACGTCGGTTATAGGATTGTAACTTAAATCCAATACTTCCAACTCCCTGAGATTGATTAAACCTGCACACCAATATATCCCTTAGTCA